TGGTGCTGGATCTCATTTCGTTATTTTCAAGTAAATTTTACGGTAAAAGAAAAAATGCATCGCTCCCTTTTTCTCAGAATGTCAATGAAGTACACACTTCAAATGATGCATTCTCGGACGATATTCCACGTGGTAGCGCTTGGTGGCTAACTTTGGTGAGGTTTTTGAGAGAACGTATCATCATGAAAATGATGAGATGCCGCCCATGTATGATTTTACGCAACATAATTTGCATCTTTTATGTACAGTATAGAACATTTCATCTCATATCTGCGGTAGGGTTTTTTTACCCCACTTCATTCAATGTGCCTCTGTCACCACCCAGTGGTTGAGTTTTAAGATTGACTTTTGGCTGAAAACGGCACAGTACAGGGTACGAACATTGAAACACGTTCCTTCGGAGTGGGCAGGTAGGAACTTGGTTGGACAGCGCATGCGTGCACGACAGACAGACAAATCATCCCTGGTGGGTAGTGTGGAACCTGTTGGTCCTACCTGTAAAATAACTGCAGCCCTGAACTATACGGGAATGCAAAACAAGTACAGAATACATCTTCTTTGTTCTTTCGGTAAAGTCACGTTAAATTGAAATAATACCGACCTGGTCTTCACCTGAGGACGGCTGCTTGCGTTGTGGCCGAAACGTCGTGAGAATTATTTTATTATGTTTTTATTATTATTATTTTATTATTTCCATTCTACGTGACTTTACCGAAAGAACCAAGAAGATGAATCCCTGCAGTCACGAAAGCTTTAAATCGAAAAGTACAGAATAATTATAGATCAAACGGTAAATAAAACAAAACAAAGTGTTACATTTCCATGTTCATACGTGTAGACTTTTGAAGTAAGTGCTGTTCGGGAGTACACGACCTGATAAGGGACCGTCCATAAATGACGTCACGCACCTATTGGGGGGGGGGGGGGTCAGACATTTGTGACGATGTGTGACGATGGGGGGGGGGGGGGTGAGAAATGTGACGTCACATCAAAATTCGCACTTTAGACAACACGTTCTACTTAATTAAATATACTTTTTAATAAATGTTTTCTCCTACAACATCAGAGTGCAGCGGCACATTAAATACGCACTACAATGACAATAGTTTAAAGCGATTTGAAGCATGTTATATTTTTTTGGGAGGGGGGGGGGAGCTTCGTGACGTCATATTTGAGGGGGGGGGTCTGACTTTTTGTCATGCCGTGTAACGAAGGGGGGGGGGGGGTAAAAAATCATCCAAAATCGCGTGACGTCATTTATGGACGGCCCCCAAGGCCACGATGAAACATGATCGGGGTTAGTGTGGATGCAGCCTGAGCAGGGTTAGTCATCAGTCTGCTCAGTGCTGATGTTAACGCACCACACAATGCAGTCGTTTGATGCCAAGTATGTCAATTGGAGAGTCGGCTGTGGCGAGATGTTAACCATCTCACCTGGTGTACAGGATCCCGACCCTGACGCCTGCTGTATATTTGGAGTTTGCGTGTCTCTCTCCCCGTGGTAGCGTGGATTTTCTCCGAGTCCTCCGGTTTTCCCCTCCACATTTAGAAGCATGCGTTTAAAGTACAATATTGAGCTGCGATACATTTCCACAACATTTGTGGCGAGGTTGCTTTGGAAAAAAAGAGGTATTTATTTGAGTGGGCGTTATCTGATGAAATTAAAAGTTTAGTTTATCATGAATACTGGCTATGGACAGTCTCTTACATGGTTATTCGTCAGTAAGCGTGGTGCGGATATGATGCTGCCAACCCTTATAAACCAAGTTTTGTAATATTTATTGCACTTTATAGAGGCACCTCAGAAAGCGCTGTTAACTCTGTCGGAGTGAAGTTATCATTTGTTCGAAGAGCATTCACAATCTCGCGTACCAAAAAACTGTTTTTGTTTGTAGTTGACTCACAGCGAGATATTCGAGTAAAGTCGACGAGCATACAGTATATGGTGTTATATGCCATTAAGGGGTGGGGAAATATATGGCCCGTAATCTCTACCCTCTCCTGCGACTTCATTCCACACGACCTTTGCTGCCACATGCGACCGACCAAACATAATCCTGTATCCTTCGCTGCAAAAATCTTAGCAGGGTGGTGGTGGTGACGACGCACGCCTGTATTGGAGCACTTTGGAGGCAGCTAGGATTGATGGATGACACAAATGTTGTTAAACTCCCTTACCATGGGCATCGAGGGACCATACCCTGGTTCGCCAGAAGGTGGCACAGCTAAATGTGGACTCCACCTGTTCCACACGTAGGCTTTCGCGACCAATATTCACAATGCTTTTGGGTTAGAACGCGTCAAAATAAGTGTCGTTAACCCACCCGACACAGCTAATTCATAAGGTTTGTCACGTAAACACATTTTTGGCATATCGCCTGATGATGCTGGTTTTAATCACCAGTAAAACGCCGTACTCAAATTTAAATGTTTTGGGTTTACTCTCCAACACTAGTGTGCTGAAGTCATAATTGGCACATTTTATTTACGAGACAAACATTACTAATTGGCGACGTCGGATGGTGGCGGGTTAATGACACGTTTATATTTATGCGATCTAACACCCCAAAAAACTATTATAAATACACCTGTTCCGTCTGTATGGGAGTGTTGCCCTGTCGAACGCGTGGGTTTCCTCCCACATGTACACACTAATTAGCCAATAACATCTTAACATACAGAGGACCACAGAGATCGGGTAATTTGTTGGCCCCGGCTCGCCGATGGCTGCCTTACCGCTCGTCTTTGCTTCCTTGTCCCATAGCAGTCATTTTATCTTTGAGAGTGAGTGAATACGAGTTGCATTTAAACTAAAACACATTCCTGCGGAGGGAGCTGGGAGGAACGTTGGGTTGCTCGGTCAATGGCCAGGGTCAACGGCGGCGTGGTGTATTCCGGAAATATGGCCGACTGAGGGCGGGTACAAGCCGGCGAGAGTAGGTTAAACGTTGAGTTTTATAAGGGCACCACCCAGCCCCACCCCTCCCATCCCCCCACCCAGCCCCACCCTCCCCACCCAGCCCCTCCCCACCCACCCCACCCAGCCCCTCCCCACCCTCCCCACCCTCCCCTCTCCACCCAGCCCCACCCCTCACATTTTTGGATGCACGACGGACGGACGGACACAATAATCCCCTGTGAGCTGGTGTAACCAGGAGGTTCCTACCAGTATCAAGATGTGAATATTTTCGACTTGGCAACACCGTATTTAGTTTTGGCACACGCAGTAATTATTGTCACTTGCGAAGGCTTCTTCATACCCCGTCAAAACGCGCGTGAGTTTTCATGTTATTGTTTTGTACCGAGGGGTGTGTAATAATGCATAACCTGCCAAGGGTATTGGGACGTTCTATTCGGCCCTCAGTAAGGTTAAGGTTCCAGTACAGTTTCACTTAAATCTTGAAGGTAGCAATATAAATACCTTGTTCAAAACCCTGTATTTACACATATCCTGTTAAATAAATACACGACGAACACTCCTTATGCTGCAAATTAAAAGGCAAATGTGCAATTACTAGCTCACGACACTACTGCCAGAAAGGCCTCTTATTAGAGGTCACCCTGGAGATTTATTTTAGAAGGGCTACAATTTATCCAATTAGCTACAACTAAACTGATAATTACAGTATTATATATATAAAACATCTGCATCATCACCATTGTTATCAGCAGCTGTGGTTAATCCGCTGCTGGATGAAGGCCCCTTGAAGCTGCTGCCATCTGTCATGATCATGTGATGTCATGATCGCTTCGGTGAAGCAGGTTATTCCCATGTTAATGTTTCAGCGTTTTCCTCGTCCTTGTACGGTTTGTCTTTTCGTGACCTTTGGTTTAGCACCGATGGTAAGCAAATCCGTTTCAAGGACAATAAATTAAATAATATGTCTGATTTTTTTTTTTACCACAAATATGCGTGGTTAATGCAGACTTGATACCTTGTAATGCGTCTATTTGGTGTTTGAACATATTAACACCTGTATTTATGCCGGAAAGGGTAAATCCTTTTCTATAATTTTATATCTTTATACTGGCAAAAGGGTCCCATAGATATTAAGAGGAGGAAGTTCCACCTGTCACACATGAAGAACTAAGCCCTTCGCTGTATGGAAGAGAGCAAAGCTCTTCGACTGGATGGTATAACTGTGGATATTATCAAAGAAGCGGGGTCAATTGTTAAAACGAGTGGACTTCGCTAAATATTTACACAGAAGGGAATTACCACGATCATGGAATAATGGTCTAATAATTCTATAACAAAAAAGGGTGATAACAATAACGTTTCAACATTCACATGAATAACACAAAACTCAATAACTAATGATCCATATTCTTAGGTTTTTTCGGTAAAGTCGCGTAGGTAAAAACATCAAAATTAATGAAAATAATTTTGATGTTTTTACCTACGTGACTTTACCGAAAAAACCTAAGAATATGAATCCTTGCAGTCACGAAAGCTTCAAATCTAGAACTAATGATCCATTAGCCTTTTCTTGAATGTACATACATTGTTCGTGAAGATCATTGGAAGTAGTGGCTTATGTGTGTGAGCTGTTGGGATTGTGCCCCACAAAACCTTTTTTTTTGGTTAAAACAAAGTATTTTAAATGAAAACACAGTTAAAATTTGCCACAGATCAATGCAAAGCTACATTGTGTTCGATATCACAGTTAACGTAGCCACATCCTAAAGCTAACATATCGCACAACATCGCCCACGACTAAAATGAAAATTACACGACACTTACAACAACATGCTATTCAACACTCAATTTAACTATTTGGGATAAATGTTGACAAACTAGGCTTAATTGTTCGGCAAATACATTATTATTTTTGTTCTTCTCTTTTGATCAAATGTAGGACTGTTTATTTTATTTTGGCTAATTTGCTGAAAACAAGAAACAACATTACTGTACGCAACATGTACTATTGATTTAACCAAGTTAAAGTTACAGCAACATACGTCCACTTGTACAGTTTTGTCGTGAAGAGTAAATTTTTTTCACCGGTGATAATAAATCACATGAGTTTTGACACCACACATTTTAATAATAATAAAACCAATACAAGTAGCACATTATCTTACTCAACCATTACATTACCATGGCAATCAACTTGATTATTAATGCATTAGTAGACGCTGAAATACCACACCCTCGCACTCCTCACATCGTCATCTATTGTAAAAACCAAAATGAATTTTTATTGTAACTTTTGCTTTTACTTTAGAAAGTGCGGCAATTTATATTCCGTTCAAGCATGAAAGCTCAACCCGGAATGACTACTCCACTTACAGCTCCAATCCACCATGAATTATTACACTGGATGCATTGAATAATTATAGCGCCACTTCCAAATACTCGTATCCCTGAAGAAAAATTCCCAAAACGAACACACTTCAATTTTACAAGGAAAATGTAAGCAAAAAACAGCAACACCTGCCATTCGCCACTAAGTGACTGAGGTCACCACAGCGCCTGTGCCAGCCCAGGTGCACTTTGAGGCCACGTGAAGTGTCGAAGGCTCGCTGACAGGAAGTCATGGGACTGACCCAGGTGCCATGGGTTGACCGACTGAGATGACTGGCAGATGCACCAGCGATGCCCCCGACTGTGCCAACTTGTTGCATATTAGCCACATGGCGCTAGGCTCGTTGTTGAACATCGCTCCTCTGCCCTCCGTTGGTTGTTGGAGGGCGACTGCCTCCAACTGATTAGAATCATACTTCACGAGCCTCCTACATAGAGGCGATCTTGACACCGCTGGCACCAGTCTTTGGCAATTCCACTCAGCTCCACATCCTCCTGCACCGCATCAGTCCTTCTCTTCTCCAGCCTGTGTCGTGCCCATTTACCTCCGTCTATCCGGCCAAACAGAAGTTACTTGGGCATGCGGTGGCTTGACATATGGGCTATGTGACCCAGTCAACGCAGCCTTGCCTGCCGGAGGAGCTCACAGATGGGAATGGGTCCTGGGTGCCAAATGCTGTTGTAGTGTGGAGCAGTGGAGAAGCAGTTCACGCATTGCGCTATAAACCCAGCGACCTGAGTTTGATTACGGGCAACCACTAACATCGGTGTCGAGTGATATTTGAACCTACCCTATCCCCCCCTTTACCCACCTCCACCAACCTGCACTCATCAACATGAAGTATAGCAAAACAGCCCCCATGACCGACACAACTTGAGGAGGCCTTCATCCAGTAGTGGATTGACTAAGACATTAATTAAGATATATGTATAATTTACTGCTGATATACTACCCATACAAAGGCTGTTTAATAAAAATAAAAGAAGCTCAAAGCATCATTACATAGTCCATCACTACAACGCAAACAGAAGTTTGATCTTTTCCCTGGCTGGATGTACTATCTTTGAACTAATTTAAAGCTGACCAAAACAATATTAAACTAATTATAAAACATGTTTGGAATATGTTAATGCACAGTTTGGTTACCTAGGAAGACATACAGGCACTCCGATTTAAATTTGTAAAGCACGTACAGACTTTGGAATTACACATTCGCATGTTCACACAAGATGACTTCATTATGGCAACTAGAGTGCTGTAAATTCGAAAAATGCTGAATGTATTCGGCATGTATTTCCTGAATGTGTCCTAATTAAATTCCTTGCGATGAACACAACTGTAGAATCAGAAGGCTACAAACTAAATACCACGCACCCTTTTTTAAACAAGGTGCTCTTCTCTCCCTCGGCCTTGCATATTGTGGCACATTCTGGTTTGCCTAATCGCTGTCCTCTTCCACGAACGTCACGTTGTTGTTGCTCTTCAGCAGCTTGACGCCTGCAACAGAAGCACGTGGAGGATCGTCGATTTAAATCCACGACAAATGAGATATTAACGGACACTTGTGTAAGCAGGTGGATCAATTTAATTGCATGCGACAACCTTGCTAAGTGAATGGAGTTGGGAGCCTAGCTACCCAAGGGACCGTCCATAAATGACGTCACATGATTTTGGACAATTTTTGACCCCCCCCCCCCCCTCGGCACACGGCGTCACAAAATGTCAGACCCCCCCTCAAATATGACGTCACAAAACTCTGCCCCCCCAAAAAAATTAAACATGCTTCAAATCGCTTTAAACCATTGTCATTGTAGTGCGTATTTAATGTGGCGCTGCACTCTGATGTTGTAGGAGCAAGCATTTATTAAAAAGTATATTTAATTAAGGAGAACGTGTTGTCTATATTTATTTAAAGTTGCACAATTGTATGTGACGTCACATTTTCAGACCCCCCCCCTCGTCACACATCGTCATAAATGTCTGACCCCCCCCCCCCCCTAGGTGCGTGACGTCATTTATGGACGGCACCAAACCCTTGCAACTTTCTGCCTCGGTGGTAACAAAGGTACTCGGTAATATGATGGCATTGTTGTTGGATAGAAGCGTAAAACTTACATTACAGCAGTTTTCAGTATGAATTCCTTGTTCAAAATGAATTGCCTCAAAAGATTTGCAGGATAAAAAATGTACTTCGTCTTTTCTGCTCATTTGGTTCATGTTCTCTCCTTGTTTTTCTAATTTTAAATGAATACATCGTTATTTTAAAAAGCCACATCTAAGGAGAGAATCTGATATATGCATGCAATTTGATCTGGAAACAGCTTCATACAAATTCAACGAAATAGACAAAGTAGGAGGAATCTATTTTGTTCAATTGATTCTGTCATTGAAATGAAAGTGAGATCATTTTTGAAGAGAAAAATTGTTATGCAATATTTTGATAGAAGCGGAGAGTCGGACACAATGTACGTCTCAGACACGTGGTTGATTATCACAATAATTAAGATGTCAAAACATTTGAAAATCCACTCCACAGATTTACAGAAAGATGAATGGCATGGATAAATATGAAAAAAACCACAAGGGATTGATTAGTGAATTGACAATAACGAGGCATCGTAATCAGTACTCAAAACGAATCGACTTGGGGAGGGATATATTGACAAGTATAATGGAATGAAAACCAAGAAAGAGGGTAGAACAAAGGAGACACGTGATGATGAAATTAGTGTACATATTTGGGGGGTGGGGGGGGTATAGGTGAATGTTTGGTGGTGAGGAGTCCGAGTTGAGGCTCTTGACAAGACACACACATCCTATATTGATCATAGTTATATGAAAAACATCCACTGTTAAGATTAGGTTCAATGCGAGAGATAGTTTTAATGCTCCATTGAGGTTAAATGGAACTTCATCATTTACCTAACTAAACATTCAAATGTTGGTTTACATTTGCATACATTCAGCTCTTCTCTTTTGGGAGAAGGGACGCAGATTACCATTTGCCAATCCAGATGGGGGCACTGTTACAGAGTGGACACTCTGCCATGGACTACGAGAGGGAATTACTTTATAATTCGCATAACAGTAATGCGGACATTTAATAGGCTCATGCCATGGGTTAAAAACATTTCACACAGAAATAGCATATGCAAGTGTAGCATATCATGGGGATGAGGGATGAATCGGTGGCTACTGCATTGTGCTACGAACCTGGCGATGTCAGTTTGATTCCCAGCCACGGATAACATCAGTGGCGAGTTATCTGAACCGGTAGTGGCATGCCATCAAGCCACCTTCTTTACCAACCCACAATGAACAGCATGGTGAAGTATAATCAACCAAGCCCTATGACTGACATGGTTTTGGGATGTCTTCGTCCAGGCAGTCGATTGACAAAGAGATATAAATTATTGTATTATTGTGATTGGAGTGTGCTGCTTTTGGGCTGGCAAGAAAGATAAGTAGAATGAGAAGCAGGGGAAAAATATGATTCTGATAATGACAGTGTGTATCCAAAAAAATAATACGTTTGTTAGGCAATTGCCTTAATGAATAAGCGTGATTTAACTCTAAGCGAATTGAAAAAGTTTCGCCATCATTACTGTCATCGTCCCATTCAAAAGAGATAATAGCACAGATTAATACCGGGACGGGCTGTGAAATTACGTTTGGGAATAAGTGCTCAGCAGTTTATTTTACTGTATGGTCCCCATTACTGGAAAACACGCAACCAACAATAAACATGAATTATTTGCACAAGCGAATGCATTACTTGCCATCGGAGCCACACTAGCATCACAGTCCCAGTGCAGCTGTACAGTACTTTAGCTGGAAGAGGAAATGTTTATAAATAATTGATTAGCCAAGATGAGGTAATGTCTGAGTGCGGCTTCAGGCAAGAGTGCGAATGAGAAATGGAAAATGTTGATAACCTTGTTAATGACAAACACACAAAAGCACAAACGTGCACACACCTATTGGGCACGATGTTAAGCAACTTAATAAAGACTCTCCACTGATATTACCTACCATGTTGTAGTTTGTTAATTTAAATCCTTTTTAAATTTCACCACCTTCATATACAACTTCACTCGGTACCTTCTGGGTAGTTTTATCCCGGAAAGCTTTCACTTTTTGAAAGTCGTATTTCACATGATACCCCAACAATAGCAACCTCCATGGTGTGATTCTCTTTTAAATAAATATGTATAACTTGCCCCACTGAATCCAACTTTGTTTCTAATTACCAGTCACTTATTGAGCCAAGATCGACCAAACGAAGTTAATATTAACCCACGAGAAACATATATTTTAATAAAACAGTTTCCATTTAAAGCATGGGCATATTTGTGTCCTATCTGATTGAACAAAGTACATGGGTACCTGTAAGTGCTCGACATGGCATATGATGCAACGGCATCACTTGAAGTATACATGAGTGTTTATGGTGATTTTTCTCCAGAAATTGGATGAAGCCGGATGAGCTGACAGAACAAGAACCACTCAGATTGTGGGTTCAAGCAATATGCCCCCAAGTGATATCAACTAATAAGTTAGTCTGGCTACCAATGACTGTACAAAAAAAATCACTGTTTATAATTAGTGATTTTTATGCTTCTTTGAGAGATAAATCGCAGTACAAAAGCATATCAATCATAACTTAAAGGATGTGAAGCACCCATATGCACAGCTAATGAAGCATCATCCTGTGGGTTGTGTTCTGACAGTGGCCATGCCACCTTTTCCACTCCTTAGTGGTGGAGTTCGTGGCTCTTTTTGTTTCCTTACTTCGCCGTGAACAATTCATGGACAACCATTTCTACTAATGAGGGGCACTATTGCACTCCTCCACCCCCCTCTTTCCCCACCCTCAAATGGGCACGGCAGAGTGGGTACGGCCGGGTAAACTACTGGGCTGTGGCCCAGACAATGGGCGAGGAGTGGGCATGCTGGGGCATGCTGGGGCATCCGGTACAGCTCACGAGTGGTTAATATTGCGTCCTCCCCCTTCCTCTGTGTCAGGAAAAAACAATACCAAAGCAAGCAAGCCATTTATTGGTAGGAAGGCGGCGGCTGTGGCATAAATCAGCTAATTGCACCAGAGATGGCGTCTGTCTGTCTTTGAGTGTCTGTCCCATACCCATATCTGTCAACCCCTTATCAGTGCCTACCTTATTACAGACCAATTTAGACCTTATTGGTCACCCTGTACCTTTATAAATCTCTATGTTCATCCTACAAAATCCCATCACAAGGGAGAAACACAAACAAATAGGCACATTTTTTCTTGCCCGTATTGAAACGGCTGTATGCCATATGCACCTGAAAACTCAATTTCCCTGTACAAGAATACAGGCAAACCGTATGGATTGGCAGGTATGCACACAGCGCATATACAGAGACTTCTATATATCCTTAACAGACTGTTGGGGCAAGTGCTGTAAGCAAGCACCTATATTAAGGCCAGCACTGTACACCAGGGAGTAGGAGGCCAGCACCATGCCCGACTGCCTTTGTCTCCCCAGTGGCGATGTCTACACACCACACCAGGTGTTGCTCGTGAGCTAGAATCAACCTCAGATGTCTGGGTTTCTAGCACAGCACTAAACTCATCTAAAACTAAACTAATTTTATTTTACCAGGTAAGGCCCACTGAACTATATAGCTCTTTTTCAGAGGCGACCTGGCCACAAATGATAGTCCAATTAAGTGGCCTATGTGGAAACGTATAGCAGCCTAATAGTCTAAACGCTTGTTTCTAAATGTGGAGGGGAAAACCGGAGGACCCTGAGAAAAATCCACGCGACCACGGGGAGAACATGCAAACTACACGTCAGGGTCAGAATCGAACCCACGACCCCCTGTATACCAGGCAAGGGAGTTAACATCTCACCACCCTGGTGCCCTGGTTAGCACGTTAACAGCCCACATATATATATATGCATATACACACATCATAATTGATAGGATGTGAAGCATAAAATACACACATACACGCATACATACAAGGCCAAATAGCTGCTGTGTCGCCGAAAAGATTGTTGATGCAAATGTTGTCATGCAACATTCCTTCAGGTGAGCATGATACACAAGAGGTGGTGTGGCCAGCAACTGAGTGATGCACACACAAAGTCAAAGATTCCCCATGTAGCCTACATAGACTGTTGCGGCAAGTGCTGTGAGAGCACAACTCTGAAAGATCTGCATGGATCACCGGCAGCATGGTGCGCTTAGCACCATGCCTGGCCACCCATGTCTCCCCATTGCTGAAGTTTAATGCACATCACACAAGTTGCCGATTTAACCTAGCCCCCTAAGTTTTAATTGGTTGGCAGCACAGAGCAGGCCCATTTGCACACCCATTGTGCAGGTGGGCAAAGCGGGTCTGCCATGGTCACAGAGATCAAAACCTCCACGCTTGACATGGTGGCACGAGATCACAGCTTTGACTGCAATATCACAAATAAGTTATAAATCATATTATTTATATTTATATTCACATACGTACGTATGTTGAACTTCTTTCACACCACACGTAGCCAACGGTGCCAATCGGAGGAGTGGGGGACGGTACAAACTAAACACACAAAGCAGTTTTAAAGAAATCGTTTTTTCGATCTCGTTTTAAACGTGCATAGCTCCAGTGGCTTTCTAGATACTACTCTCCGTATACAAGTGACTTCATGATAGTCTGGAGTAGTTAGACTGTACAAGGCTAGAGGCGACGGTCGTGCGCTGCTTGGCGCGAGCTTGCCTGGCACATGGGGGATGATGCGATGCACGGGCGTGTCCTTGCGTCGAGGTTTTTGGAGTTCAGGCTCCACCGTTTTGGCGACACTTGGCTGGGAGTCTCTGAGCGAGGCTGCACAATCCCTCTGGCCCACCGCACTGCAGCCTGAAGGAGGACCGAGCGGGGAAAGGGGACAGTTGAACGACGGGGGGAATTCACTGGAGCGTCCCCCCCCTTCGTGGATGGTTTTTGTGACGAAGCTCGCAAATAGCTTTTATCGTAATATAACTGTCCATCACAGATAATTGCTGGATTATTTGCAGAGGTCGCAAACGGGTTTTGATTCCTTACCCGTACCCGTACCTGACCGCACCAGGATCGCAAATGGGTACCCGGCTACCCGTACCTGGCCGGGTACGGGTAGCCGGGTATCGGGTAGGGTACGGGTATCGGGTACCCGGTTGCGACCTCTGATGATTTGTCATGCAGATTTAGCGCCCGGTGCAATGTATTAAAATGTGTCGTCAACTTATAAGAAGGCAAATTAATGAATACGTGTATTGAATTATTTAGGCGTCTCAAAGTAGTCTATTATAATAAACAACACTTTGGAGGTGTTATTTAATTTCTTATAGAGCAACAGAGTAGGGCACAGTTTGTAAAGGGAGTGTTAGTGTAATTGTCCCAAAAGGATGACTGGTATACACGTAATTGCATTGCATTTAAACAAACAAGAAAATTATGTATACAAGGCACCAGCAATTAGTGGTCTGCACTAATGCACTAAAAAAAACAGTTTGCCATTTATAGAATTGGAAATAATGCAAAGCCCTTTATTAAGCCACTACTGGGGTCGGCCATGGGGGTACGATTAACGATATTTCACCACGCTGGTCAAAGACAAATAACTAGGCTAAAGACAGTCACTGTATCACTACTCTACCAATTTTATTTGTAAAAAATCAATAATAATTTACATTTATTTGGAAGGCATCTTCCATAAATTAGTTAACGGCACTATAATGTTTTCTGGTTTTAGCTTAAAATTCAGGACAGTTATATAAAACAGGCACTGTACATGGCAAATTCCAACGATCATTCCGGGTGCACGTTTGAAGCCACGGTCTTCATCGCCACCAACGCTGAAGACAATTTAAAGTAATTTTGGATGCACAGTTATATAATGAAAACAAATATTTCTAGATCCTGATAACAGTTGAATCATAAAGTAAGCGAAATAATTAGGATTTATATATATACAAATTTTAAATATTTTTTCTTAGGGGTGAATGTGTCTTTTACGCAAATAATGTATGTAACTTAAGCTATCCACAATGAAAGAAAAAATCCATTAAACAAAATGCATGATACATTGTTGTATTTCCTTACTCTTAATATAAAGGGGTATTCCTACTATACATATTTACCTCTTATTTTTTGTTCGACAATACAAACACCGCAATTGTTTATGGGGATCGCGGGCTCCTAAAAACTGCAGAACAAATAAACCAACAAAACCACAGTGAACAGATGTCACAATCACAGAATTTACTTATAAGCTCACCCACGTACAATAATAATATCACTGATCTATCCCATGACCGAGGCCAGTCCAGAATTAAGGGAATTGTGGGGGGGGGGGGGGGGGGGGAGAAAGTGGTGTGGGGTGTTTTTGCTGGTTGGGTTTTGGGTTACATTTCTTAATGATCTGTCCCAGCTGGACCTAGCTCAGGCACCATGGGCTAAGTGCAGCATTATCAGTGACAACCATTAGTGTGTCACCCCTCGCTCCACTGCCTACCCCTCACCCGAGCCCACTGCCCCCTCACCTGTGCCATTAGTGCTGCCCTCGCCATCTGGCCTGGCCGGATCTGGCCAATTGTGCTCCTTCTTCTCAGCCACGCCCTTGTGTTTCCTTGTCAAGCCGTCTGCATCACATTCATGAATCTGCCAAGCAGGTACTAGTAGCAGGAACATTACACGTGTGTGCCCGTGTGCGGTGATCCGTGTAATGTGCGCGCGTGTGTCTTTATAGACGTGCAATGTCACTCATTGGGGTTGTTTAACCATACTTCACCGGGCTGGCCTGTGCAGGTTAGAGAAGAAGCGTGAAGGCCGGTTCTGTGCTCCCACTTCTCCAACCCACACCGACCAATGGTGATGAAGTACGGTCAAACAACTGCCATGCCTGCCACACCGTGCAGAGGCCTTTATCCATCAGTAAATCGACTAAGGCCTGAAAACGAGCAATTTAGCTCGCAATCTCACATTTAAATTGAGTACAGTACTTCCTTGTTAGAAATCAACACTGATTGTGCAGTGGACAGACTGGCCTATGACATAGGAACATGGAATTTCCACCACCGTTCAATAGAGCTGAGCACTTCTCCATGCTCATTTGAGCAAGAGGATGACTATACTGGATGTTGAAGTGGGCGCGGATTAACTTGCATATTCGTCTATTATAGGTGGGCGCTGCTACACACAAAGCAGGCGTGAAGTTAAAGGTGCTGCCCTGCAATTTCTTGCTTACACCACTGCATGTGGAAGGGCTTCCATCATCAGAGGAAGCTCCAGAGAGCCCCTCTAAAGAGATATCTTAGCCTACTCTTTCACTCTGGTCAGACATTTTGGAAGGAGGTGGGGGTACCCACCATACACAACGATCTAACTGCGGTGTACACGTACCGCTGGGTGGACAAAGGCGTGGGGGGATTCAAGAAACCTTCCGCATTGTTCCAACTGCCACCCAGGAAGAATCAAGTCGAATCGGCGACCTCTGCATTGCAAGTTTCAACAGCGTTAATTGTTACAACCAAGAAAGCGTCCCGGTGCAAGCTGCGCACAGCGGCAACCACGTGCGGAACCTCTACAATATGGGATGCTGCAGACAATCAGCAATGCCATAGGCAGCAGCAGAGTCCATGACGCCAGTGCGAGCGAGCGTCAGCATCCTCACGGCAACGCTGCCTACCTGCTCGGGCAGGCTGTTTCGCGGCACTGGCCGCCCCGTTGTCACGCACGTCCCCACTAGGCCTGCAGCAGCACTTGGCCCTGCCCGGCGGGGGCTTGGCCAGCGTCAATCTCTCCACTCCACCAGAAGGAGATGGTGGGAAGGGATCGACAGGAAGGGGCTCGGTGGTTTTTCCGACCCCGGTGTCCAGGTGCCAGTCCAGGAGGCACTGCAGCTCTAAAGGAGCAGAAACTCTCCTGGGTTACAATAGGGAACACTGTGCCATGCTGTGCTGTACTCCCATGCATGCGCTAGTTTAGGATATGTTATGCATCGAAATGGGTAAGATTTTAAAATAGCTTATTATCATCGTTCCGGCATATGTAACATGTATGTAGGTATGTTCAACTTCTTTCGCACCACTTAAAAGCGGTACATTGTTCAAGCAAAATGCTATTTCAGTGTGTGGTATGTGGCTCATAATACCAGTCATATCCCATGTACATACATACGTATGTGAATTTGGTAGTTTCTAAAATGTTATATTCAGCTTGTTTGATAACTGAAAATAAAACTAATTGTCGGTTTTTCATAAAAAAAACTGGTATACTGATTAATTATTCTTTGGCTGTTTTTCGGTTGCAGCGATGGCTATAAAGGGCTCATTTTCATGCATAATGTATAAACGGTGTTCTTTTGGCACAAACTCATAGAGCATGTGATATTAATGTTTCCTCAGAATAAGAAATCACTCCCATGGCCCAGTGCCTCACATCTGAGAACCGAGGCAGCCACGCCCTTGCAGCTTTGGCTACGGATGCTAAGCTAATTTGCTTGAATATATTCAAGCTGCGTTTATTTTAGTGTGGCATGTGATATTTACTGCAAAGGAAAATTATGAAACGAAAAGATTAATAATGTCATGCAATACTGAATTTGAACAACAAACGGTACACTCATAAGCTTCCTCCCTGATATTCACATTTTAAGCCCTAGATTTATTGGTCAGAGTTTGGACAATATGCAATTAGGTTAATTGGCTCTATTGCTTAAGTTTTGCACTTGTTGATTACCTGTAACGATAGGAGGTGTGTAAACACTTTGCTTCCTCTGCTTTGGCGATGGAGTTGGAGCGGTGTGTACCTCCAGCACCTTTTTTTCAGAAAAAATATTTAACGAATTCAGTCACTCACACACAAGCACAAAGGTCCCCTCTCAGCATTCATGAACTTTTTGAAGCAAGTGTTGTCAGTGAGCCCATGTCAAAGCAGACACAACACACCAGACTGCCCCTTCCTTCTTAGCGATGTTGACAAACTGTATATTCTCAGTTAAGCATATTGAGAGAAGACTCAAACCAAGGTAAATATTGACAATGCAATTGTACCCGAAAAAGAATAAAACCAATATCGCTAAACCTCTGTGCACCTCCAATCCACTGAATAAAGACAAAGATCTCCCGAAAAGGCTAAACAGACAGTTGGGGCAAGTGCTGTTAGTGAGCACCTACGAAGGCCGGAATGGCACACAAGGGGGTAAGGTGATATTTTTTTACACGCTGCACCAGGTACTCATTTAGGCTGAGCCGACCTCGAGGAGGCTCAGGACCTGGTTCAGATATTCGTCACCGGTGTTGGCCATGAGTGCGAATCAAACTCGGGTCGCCGGCCTCATAGCGCAGTGCACTCACATCGATGCCACCACTCACCCCAACTTCACTCAACACACGCACACAGTGCATGGACCAACATTTAGATCAACTACATTATCTATGCATAATATGTTCTGTGAATTAATATACTGCATTTTCTGTGAAACAAACCCTAATAAGAAAACCGTAGTTTTTATCACCACATGGCTCGCTGGGACCATTACCGTCTGCGGTTCCTGGTTTCTATTCTCTTCTGCTGTACGGGAAAAAAGGAAAAAGTAAAATCACCCTTAGCAAGGTTCTGCACAGACATCGCATTAAAGACAAAAGGCAGAATTGAGTTTTAAAAAAAGGAACCTTTCTATATTTACTTATTAGCTCTTCTTTTACACATTTAAATTAAGGTTATGTGAACTTTATTTTTATATTACCCACCTCGTATTAAAGTTACAATCCTTTGAACACAATATTTAGTATTTATAATTGAAGAGCTGCTATCTTCTGCAGTAGCCACTGCAGTTTTGTCGAATTTTTTTGTGCTTGCATTTGATACAACAATAGGACAACGGTTTGAAGTTAACTATCAGCATTTCCTACAATTGCCCCACAATACTTGATTCTAACTCTTGCCTGATAAGTACTACAGTAAACGACACCAGGGTGAAAATTCCAACATCATCATCTTGAAACAAACCTGGTATACCAATGTTAAGTCATCTCCCATTCAACAATGGAAGAGCCTCAAAAATGTCTTTGTTTTCCTAATTTTGGCATATTGGATTATAAATCACGGTTTGCATTAATATTTCACCATCTAATATATCATTCATTAAGACAAAAGTAGGTAGTGTCCTGCCGTAGAACATCAATAATGTAGCGGGACATACCTGACGTCTGGGCATTTGTCAGAACAAGATTCGCAGGCGTCGGCCGTCTCCTTCGAATCTACAAAAAGGTTGCATTTAATGAACAGCACACACCCACTGCTCTTAACGTGACATTAAGCCAGGGGCACAAGCCACACTTTTAAAGTCGGGAGTGTCCCACTAGCGAATGGTTACCGGCGGCTATTGGCCAGATGACAGAGCATCGACAATGTTTACCCACCGCTATGTCACGGACAATTAGAGTCGTACCGTACTATAAAGCAGTTATTAAAAAAAAAAACACTTCTGGCTACTAACAGAACTGAACCTACGTTGTGTGCGCTGCTGTGAATTTAAAGGTTTCATCACGAGCGTAACCAGCATGTCACCTTGTTCAAGGGAGAAAACGGCAGACTCAAACATGCCACGATTGTTATCCAAACATGCTGCGTCTCTTTGCCATACCCAAAACATGTTGGGGGAGTATACAGACGTCCATGCCACCCAGTGACAATGATATTATTACAAATGGCCAAATTGTCTCCATTATATTATCAATTGGATAACCACTCAAATCCACTGCGCCAGCAATTGAAAGGCCATACCCCTGGTAGCAGGGGGACAGTCTCTGTAGAAGACGACCACTGACAACATTCCAGTTATATACTTATTTTACGAATCCCCGCTGGGATGCTGAGCGGAACCAACCCCCGAACGGTGTCTGAACTCGCAATATTCTGAATACCAGTAGAGCACTAACTAGTGCCACCCTTCCACGTTACACTCGCATGTTGCACCTCCGATTAGCACGGTTGGCTACCTACGGTGCAAAAGAAGTTCAGCATACGTACATATGTTAGTTAATCTCACATGGTTTCGAGAAACCATGGCAAGCCAGCAGAAATCTCCAACCTATGGCAGAGACTAGAATTGAGATATTCCTGCTCTCCACCCCCCCCCCTTCCACCTCCTAGGTAGACAGGTGGTGGCATCAAGCACGGCCGTTTACCTGCTCAGCAGAGTCTGGGTCCAGGTGGTCGTGCACGGCTGGCGTGGAGAACTGCAGCTTCTTCGGACTTTTGGGTTCCATGGTGAAATCCGGCGAGAGGAGGGTTCGCTCACCCCGGCTTGGCGGCTGGCGGAGGACCTCTCCCAGCCGGTCGATCTTGGGCAGGCTAATCCCTCACCCCCCCCCCCCCCCCCCCGAGGACGAAGATATTAACGCTGCTTGCTCGGACACACACACACACATCTGAATCTGACGTCACCCACATCCTCCCCTCGCCATCCGCCCCGACCACCCACCTCATCGGATTACGTTTCCGCACATCAGTAAGCAAATAGGACACCCGTCTGCCATAACAGTTATACGCAGGTGTGATTTCAGCACCGAAATCGGAGCCCACTCCTTTTGCAACCAATTACAGCACCCGCAGCTGATGCCTTTAAAGTGCAACGGATTGAAGTTTAGCCTCACAAAAAATATGGTCCAGAAACTTCCACACAATGGCAGCGTCCTGACAGAGCCTCGCCCTTTCAATGAAAATTGCTGGTAGTTATCAATTATTCAAAGCAGACGCATATGGCCTCGCAGCTGATAAGACCTCACACTGACATCAACTATTATGATTAACTCCTTCGTATGAAAACAGCATTATATAATTGATATTTTGTCAGCAAGTCACGTTGACAAATGAGCACCACTAGTGATAATGCATTATGGAATAAGCTGGCTGGTAGTGGACTGCTTCTCATGCTCAATCACTACCCACTTTCGTCTTCCCTCTCAGCCTCATTGTTCAACTCCCCATCAACACCGCTTTCATCCCAAGAGCACTGGGGAAAAGTGTTATCGAGCAAAACCACTTCAACAGGTCTCACCCCCAAAGACACACACTCGCTTCACTACCTTGTCACCTCATCTACGAGCAAAATTTACTTAGTCTGGCTCCAGAAACTAAGGATTCTCATAGACAAAATCAAAATTCAAATCTCTTAAAAAAAAAGAGACTTGTGGTCTCCAGCTTCTTGTACAAGGTCCACATTCCTATGGCAAGGGGTCGATTTCCCATAGGCTGGACGAATGAGCCAAAATCCACAAATTGGATTTAAACCGATGAACTGAAGCGGTGAGCAGTGGGCAATAGTAAAGACTATGCTACTGTTGCTGCCATAAAACAAACACATATTTTGATTCTTATTAGAAACCAAAGATTGTATCGTCTCCACACGTTGGTCAGTCAGGGTTTAAGTAATTAATGCACCAATCAGTAAAAATGTAAAACAAAACTGTAATATGCATATGTAAGCAACCTCAATTACCAACAGGCACCAGCTGAAGGGCAGCGATTATGTTTTAGAAACGGCAGAGGGCACTCGTCGTTTGCTGGAATTGGCCACTGCTGTGCATGGCCGGAGAAGGCACTGCAACCCAGAGCATCACACTGTAGTCCAGAAGTAAACTCTCCACCGTCGTTGTGAAAACGCACGTGATGAAGATCTTAAACCCCAGTTCGTACGCCTTCAGTGTCCGACTTGGCGAGTTAAAGTCGGTTTTTCTTGGAATGACAATTAAACGGTGATCATTTTAGAAAGCTCCTAAATGTAGACCTACATGCAGTTAGCTCTTAAGTTATATGCAACAATTAACATAATGCACGAAATAAACATTAGACCTGGCAATTTAACTGCCATTAATTTAACAAAGAGTCAGCCTACCAAAATGGGTGTTTTAATACCGAGACAAAAGTTACCAAGGTATTTATTTTCAGTTGTCAAGTACTGCATTGCCAAGAGCCACAGAAACCCCCCAATTAAGGGAAAATCTAATAAAACAGCAAAAATATGGACATTTGTCTGTCAAGAATTTGCAAAAATAAAAAAAAATCACAATAACCCAGGTCTTCTTTCATGAGGTTTATTAGGATTACATTTGTCAAAACAAAATGCAATCTATTCATATGCAGTGTACTCATTCACACATTCATTTTAAAACAGCTGAACCCAAATAGGTATCAAATACTGTAGCACACACACGGGTGAGGGCATTTTAGAGATATATATTAAAGCATTAGATACAAATCATTTGTGTCGAAAAATAAAATGGGTTTAGGAGGAGGTGCATGCGTCACCATTCTACATTTAATCTCAAGTACCGTCCACATCACAATGCACTCATGGCGCTGCACATTCATAACGCTGGGCGACGACTAAAATAATAAATCACACATCCGTTATTTATTGTCCATGAAGTAGCATTAATAAATACACATACGGAAAGACGAAAACATGTTCAAAAATAACACTCTGACAATAATCAAAACAGCAGCATGTTCCGAATACAAGTGCACAACTATTGGGTTACAGTAGGCGCACACACGCGAGCAACTGTGAAGACATTTACAGCAGTGAAAAAACCATGGCAGTATTGCACAAAACACCCAATGCTTCCCATATGATATAATAAAGCCCAAGTATAAACTATGAAGGAACCAAAAACGTAGAACCTGCATTTACGATTTTTAGCGCCACAATTATATTCTCATAAATTATAAAAGCATATTTATTAAATCTGAGTGTTAATTGTAAGTCAAGCTGGCCAAAGGGCACAAAAGCACCTCAGCACTTTTTAAACTCAGTACAATTTAATGCATTCAAGTCACAATGTACAAACACAAGGCACGTTGCAAAATATTCAATGTAATAGGCATATGAAAGCAATTTCAGATGCAAAACTGACTTGCTCAACTCCTTAAGGTATTAGATATTATGAAGTGTACTTTTTCTTCATCCAGTCCCTGTGCACCAGCACTTGTGTTAGAGGGAGAGGTTAATTGAAGCCAAACTACTTGATGCAGTTGCATTACCGCAACAACCTGTGGTATTTTCTGCCAATAGAATTTCCTTTAAACAGTTTTTTTATCAGTCTTACAAGACATTGTAAACTTTCAAAACACGAAAGTATCAATATTTACCCAAATTGAAATCTACTTTGAAAGTGATTTCTTTCAAGCAACTGTTTAGTGTTCACAACAAGGAAAAGGTTGTTGCCAGAAACTACCACAGAGCCTTGGCGTTAAGGCACAAAAAGGTGAGACACAAATAAACATTGCTGCCCACAGATAATCTGACCAGTCTCTTCCTCAGAAATCAACACCTCTCAACCCGTTGGAAAGCATTTGTAACAATGCACACATATTTCAAGTCTCAATATAAAGTGTAAATAAAATGTCAATGAAGAACATGAATATCATCTTAATTTTAAATAACCAAGCTGTCTCCAAGAACATAAAATAGGGAAGCACAAAATACCTTATCACTAATTTGAATGTTACGTTCCACAGAATGTGTAATGCAGGTAAACTGCTTGTTGCTATCCATTTTTATAAACACGCAAGAGGCTTTGCTTCTTACATTGGCATCAATTCTGGCTCTGGGTTGAATCTAAATAGATGCAAACCAGACCCAGGCATACCCAGCTGGAGCATAATCCCACCAAACAAATGATGGAGCACAATCCCACACAGGCAGAATGGTGCGTCAACAGCAGGAAAAACACAAGTTGCTAAGTGATAAAACCCCTCTGTATGCCACCATGGGAGGCAACATTACCTTCATTTAGGGACAGGTTTCAGAGAATGCTGCAACTTATTTCAATTACAACAATACCTCTTGTCGTCAACCAACTTATCAGTGTATCTCACAAACGCAAATAAACATGATGAATGACAATATCCAGTGAGTACCACACATTAGTGGAGCTGGGATAAAGTAGGCAGTATTTAGTGCAAATTATGTAACAGTGTCTTCAGAGTAAATAGCGTTGCGATCTTATAAAGTAATCTTCCAAGCAGGCTTGACACCTTGAAACAAAACAATTCACAAGTTAAGATGAGAATACAAACCTATTACATTATGCGTATTAAAACATGTGCATGAAACACAGGTTAATCAGTCTGAATATATCAATGTTTGAATCATTAAAACTTCCGTACGCTGTTGCTTATTAAAATTATGCTCGATGACATTTTTTAAAGATTATATTAAAATGATAAATTACATTTCACGACGGAGGAAAATCCAAGAGGCCATTTTTGTTTGTTTGAGGGTTCCCGTTTAGAATGTTCTGCCATTACAGTTTTTTTTTAATTACAGTGTGTTTTGCATGAAGGGAACCAGAGTATAGAGAACCCCCCACACACTTGAGGAAATAGTCAATCCTCAATATACCGAGCCAATTCAGCTGCCCCAGTATTTAAGTTCTTAACGAAACCAGATTATTTCCATAAACACCACATTTTAGGCCAATTGCACCTTGTATTATTATTTATTAGGACTTTTAAAAAAACTTAACAGAAGCAATGTAAAAAACACCAACAAAAGCACGCAAAATAAACCACAAGCACATGTTGTAACCCCACAATAAAATGGCACAGTAATTACGGTGCAGTACTAAACTAGGACTGCCTAGCACATAAACACGTGGTCAATGCTGCTTTACAAGGTATTGAACTTTTTGGCACGGGGAGAGTGATACAAAAATAAATCTCCACAAACAAAAAAAATTGGGGTTCTAAAAAAATGCCCATTTATATGAGAGATGGTCTATCCTTCCATGGTATATTTTGACAAACCCCACTGCATTCACAGCGCCCTGAGAACAATTATTTAAGGGCGATTTATAAAATTGTAATTATTATGTCTATGATCCCCTGGAGTTTACGTAAGAGTCACTCAGTTATCGGTGTGGCACAACAGTCTTACCAGAAGTGCAACTACTCTTCCCCGTCCGTGTTCTTAGGATGTACTGGCTTGGTCGAGAACTTGAATATAGGCAGCAGCTTTTCTACCAACTCCCGTCTGATCTCTCCTACTACAGACTCCTTAATCTGGAAGGAAAGAAAAATCAGAGAATACAAGTGGAATAATTAAAGATGTCTTTAAAGGATATAACGTTGAGCACGCACGCAATACATTTGAGCATTCGTGTATAATCTTTGTTTACACTGAAGCACAGCACATACACAGCATACCCATATTTGGGCTGCGGTTTTAATACACGAGACATAAGGATGTCTGTGGCACGAGCCAAAACTCGCTTGAAACCGGAGCAGTATGTACAGTGAAGAGATACAACCAACTGTAATATACTGACAATAGGTTTTTCCCATTTTTTCTGGCAACAAAACAGGTG